TACCTGAATAAAAATGTCTATTCTTCAATGGAAGAAGACATACATTTAGAAATTAGAACAACTAAGTTCCAAGTTGTTTTAGCACAGAAGAAAATAGCTTCCATCAGCCAAATTGCAGTTTAGAAATCTTCTCTTTGGCTCATTACTAAGACAATCATTTTTTGAAATCAGAAACGCAAACTCAAATATGGTTGTAAAGGGTTGAATATGTGTATTTTAAGGAAAAAGTAACACGTTTTTAATCAGACTTGAGTGTCATTTCATTACAATTCCCTTCCTCACTTGATAGTAACTCTGATTGAAAAGATCAATATACATCAATGTGTAATGAAAACTAGAATTTTGTACAGGATTTTTTAAATGTCGAAAAACTAAAATCAGGCCAATTGCAAGATATGAACTAAGACACACTTATATAAAAATCGAGGTACATAATTTCAGAGGCTTACCTGTGCATCAGCCAGCATGACATCTTTCAGCATGGGCTGGCCCTTGGGCTCACCATTTTCCATCCTCACATAATGTACCTGGTATCCTCTTATCTGGCCATGCTGTTTATTGGGCACAGGTGAGCGCCATGAGACTTTAACAGATGTTGAGTTGACAGCCTCCACCTCGACTTTGCGAGGAGGACCACTAGGAACTGGAACAACATCATTGGATAAAAGAAATTATAGGCACTTGTCCCACCCAATCAGAGCATTTTCTGCATTTTCTTTACTTAGGTTTCTCTTTTTCAAAAAATGGGTAAACCCACTATGTTTCCTTTGAAGAATACGAACATTTTCAACCAATGAAAATGCTTAACCAATCTGCTCTACCTTTTAAGAAAAGATCAAAAAACATGACCAATGCAAAAAAAAATGGAAGAAAAAAAGAGTATCAGAGAAATAGAAAAACATGTAAAAAATGTACAAAAGCCAAGGAAGATGCTTTGAGGTTCAAAGCATTAAAGCACAAAGAGGTATAGCATTGAAATAATAACAAAAACTGGCTGTTGATTGTTGTGTGTTTTTTAAAGGTTTCTTTTTAAACAGCAGAATAAAAAGATTCTTGATTATATGGATTATCTTCTCTTTTTTCTCATATCAAAGGTATTCCATACAAAAGATGCCAAAAATTGAATGTTGAGCATCAATGTTTCTGAAATATGTAAGACAAAAAGGCAACAAAAAGAAGGTAGTTTTGAAAAGTTAACTTCAAAATGTAAAAGAAGTGACTACAAAAAGCCAAGAAAAACACAGAAGACTTTAGATGGAGGAACAGAGACGGGCTGGATTGCAAGACCATAGGAGCCAACAGTCCTTTTAAAGAGAAGCAAATTACTGCATTGAGATTTAAAAAAAGAAAGAAAGAAAAAAAGGCCAGGCCGCAGCAAAGACAAGTCTTTGGCAAAAATACTAAAGCAACCGCAATCCTGGGTAAAAAGATGAGCAGAGAAAAAAGATTACTGTTAGCCTATTGAAAGACAGCAGACCAAGACTGTGTCAGAAGGGTGCAAACTGACGTAGCGGAGGCAACATACCATCTTCATCGGTTCGAATCAACACGGACAAGCTCTCAGGGCCAGGGCCGACATCTGTATGGGCCGTCACAGTGATCCGGTATTCAGTCCATTTTTCCAGTTGTTCCAAAAGGTATTTGGTAGTGTCCGAAGGAATTCCCAAAATCTCGTGAGGCTTGTCATCTTCCCCATCCACTGCAGTATACTTGATGGAGTATTCAGTGATAATGCCATTCTGTTTTTCCACTGGTGGAGGTTGCCAACTTACCAAAATACTAGTGGAACTTGGGCTGGTGCAACTAATGTCTTGAGGAGGAGCTGACGGCTCTTATTTTGGTAGTGAGTTAAAGGAGGATTTAAGTGAAAGGACAGGAGTGGTTGAAAAAGAAAATGATAAAACAAAAGAAAAGGCAAAAATAAATAAACGAACAATAAGGACAAAACAAAAATAAGGCTATGAAACTTAAATTCTAATGACAAATTATGTACCTTGGCTTAGTAATATGAATAAACCAAAAAAATGAATTAATGACCAAAAATAATTGTTAAATAATGGGGTGGGGGGAATATGTGAAAATGAGACCTCAAGATAATGGAGCCTCAAATAAAATTACCTACCTGCGATATAAATTCTTCTTCTAAACCAATCCCTCAGTATCTCCCACCCCTACTATACTGACTACCCAGCTTCAAAAAAGTTGCAAATAGTGCTAGCATTTACTTGAGGGTCTGATGGTGCTTCACAGATGTTGTTTCCAAGCTTTCCCTTCTATATTCTAGAATGAGGATGGTTTACATACAGTACCCATTTGCAAAAGGCTTAAGTATGAAAAGTTACAGTAACTGCTAATGCCCTTCTACCAGTTCCAATTAAAAATAAGTAAGTCAACAACAAACCTAAGAGGGTTCACTCTATCTGGAAAACTGAGTTTGCCTGACCAGTTTTAATAATAATAAAAAAATGTTAACTTAACATTGATCGTAGCCCATATACAGTGAGCATGCAGAATCAATAAAGGATGAAAATGCAGAGTCCAAGGTTTACCTACCCGAGGGTAATGTCAGGCTTGTTGATTCTGACTGTAACTTGTACTTACCCTACGTCAGCTTTCAGCTTTTTAATTATAACTCTTCTTGAGACACCATTGCTAGTGAAGAATTAGACCCCACCAGCAAAATTTGGTAAAATCAATAATAATCATTTGTCCCTTACAAAATGTCAATAAGACAATCATTAAAAAGAACTGTTTTTTTCAAACCCAAGTATCAACTGGAAAAGATATAACTTACGTGCAAAATTTCTTTCATTTTGTACATATTCATACAACATAGGGTTTATATTAGAGTTAAAAGATATACTTTCTTACTGCCCATTCTAAATTAAACTAGTCACTTTCTGAGCAATTATTTTCCATCAAATTAACCAAATATTATGATTAAAAAAATTAAAAACCAATAAAAGACAGCACAATTACTACTATTATTTAAAACTTAATAACGTATGTTCCTAAAGAAGAACAAACAAGTGGGCAAAGATAATACAAATCCATATACACACACATATATTTTTAAAGTAATGTATATGGTACAGTGAATAAAGCAATCCTATGTTTTATATTTGAATGTGTAGTTTGGGGATTTCCCTAGACTTTGTAAATCTTAATATTTTGGAGTGCCAGGTGTATCCAATTGTTCAGGAGACTATCAGTCTTTCTTAATTTACGTGCCTTGTGTTCATTATCACAGTCAATCAAAATAAAAGCTCTCCGTATTGACAAAAAAGGAATCCTCATAGGACAGCCTTGTAAATTTGGAATAAGATTTGCAAAACCACTAGAATCTCATTTTTATTGATTCTGACTAGGGGTTCTTATACCTCAAATTATAAATCTATTTTATATGCATTATCATTATTCATAATAAATTGAGTTGTTCATGTAACAGCAAGGACTCATTTGTAATTCTTTTTAAAAAGCTGATTTGGTTTTCACTAGGGCTATCTTCAGACCTCCTATTTTGTGAGAATATATTAAACACCATTTGAAAATTTTACTTTAATAAAATAAGGAATAGATAAGTGTTTGATGTGCTTATAAAAAGTCTATTCAATTTGTATGTACATATGTTAAAAAGTGAGGTTTGTAAACCATGTGAAATACAGTATTGAAGCATGTAACATTTCTCTTAACTAAATGCTTGGTTTTAAGAAATTATCTTCCACAATACTATTTATTAGCCTGCCTGGAATTCAAAGCAGACATACAGGGAATGCATTAATTTACATGCTTATGCCTTTAAATGAAAGAAAATTTTACGGGAATAAACGATAATCACTAACAGATTAAACAGGATCCTAATCATTTTCATGTGAATAATCATGCTTTAAGAGGGAAAAACATACATTTTATTATCAAAAAACCCTGAAAGTTTTCAAGTTTCTATAGAAAATGAAATGGTGGAAAATTTGCTCATTTATATGGAAGGAAATTAATCTTTTAAAACATAAATATCAGGTTTGCTGATAGGTCTAAATATGAGGTCAACAGAGCATCTTCTTGACAAAATTCAATGTATTTCTATTATAGATATCTATTGTATAATTCACTATGTCAAAAAGCAAAGACAAAATGTCATACAAAGAAATCAAAAATAACTCAACAAAACTCTTCAAGGTAAATAGTATTTTTATCAATGAATTGTAGACACTTACTAATAAAAAGCAATTAATAGTATTATAAGCCACCAAACTTTCCATCAAAAACAATCTCCTGTATAATACTTTATGCAAAACAATCTGCCCTGGGCACAATTAACCCCCATTGTGATAAACACAGCTATGCTTAAGGGTAACAGTTCCAAAAAGAAATTGAACCAGAGGAAACAAAATACAATTTAGAATTGCAAATATGTTTGTCATTATTCCATTGTTTCTAAATTTGTCCAGATACAGATTTTCTGTTAATGTTCCAAATTTCCACATGTACTACACACAGAGTTAATAAGAAACAAGTCATCAGAGCTGAGCTTTTCTTAGTAGAAACAAATACATGAAATAAGGACTTGTTTGTTTACAAAGCTAAAGCCTGTGTGCTTAAAAAAATAAAGGGTTTTTTTTTTTGTCTTTTGCAGTCTCTTTCATTTGCCAAGCCCTCCTATGATTATTTTGCAGGTTTCTCAATGTGAATTTTGCTTTAAAGCCTTATAATTCGTTAAACAGGGCTTGATCTAACTCCTTTTACCCACTTTTCACCCATGGAGGTCTACCAACTTCTTTAAAAGTCTTTCAATGTGGGAAAGTGGGATCTGTTATTTGGAACAATTGGGAGACCAAAATAAGTCACAGTTACACTTTCATCTGTGAAGTGTGATGCATACTAACCTAGAGACTACTAACTATTAATCATATTAGCAGGTTTGCCTGTTGGTGAAGGTGAAAGCTAGCAACATCTACCAGAGGAAATAAAAAGGCAGAGAGTAAGCAAAGAGAGACACCTACTTGACTGCATGGTTCTAGCTGATATTTCTGCAGTAGAAGCACCCAGGCCTTGAGGGGAGCGTGCAGCCAGACGGAAATAGTATAAGCTATTTGGTTTCAGTCCTTGCAGCCTATATGATGTCCCTGGCTCAATGGTAATTCGTTGCTGGAAGCAATAAGAGAATGTGGTCATCTTCAGTAAGATTCGTGCAAATACTTTTTAATCACACTGTCTGGACTATCAGATTTGTATCATCAGGATTATAATCTCATCAAAATATCACCAAAGGAGTCAATAGTGAGTATTATCCAGGGCTATACTAAGGAAATTATATAATGAAAATATCAGTTTAAAAGGCAAGTTTCTACAAAGGTAACTGGAAGAAGGGAAGTCAGAGTTATTTTTAATGTTGACACAGTTAGCCAGACACATCAGATAAGAGGAAGACTGAGAGTCCAACACCCATGAGTATGTTCTGCCCTTAAATGCATGTATGTTGCTGTGACAAAGATCACAACAGAAACTGACACCTGCCCCTAGTAGTGGAATCTGCCCAACATGTGCAATTTTAATTGAACAGATATCTACTCATCTCCCATGACCTTCTGAAATCTCAATTGGAGGCAAAGAAAATATGACCAGAAGTAGCAACAGTAACCAGTATACAATTTACAAGAGGTTATTATAAAAGAAATTTGAAATTGCCTAGTTTTGATGGGATAAAAATCATGTTAGTCACTAAAGAAAGTTGAACAATTTATCGGAAACCACATTACTACCCTAGGTTGATCTAAAATAACTGAAAACCTTCCTTTCTTTGTGAATATAGAAACCTACAGCCAGAAAAAAAATAAATAAATAAATTCACAAACTTTTGTGGACTTGCGAAATACGATTTTGTTAATCAAATGCCGCTGTTAATCAAATGCCACCGTTAATCAAATGCCATCCTGGCTAACTCAGTGAAATCCCGTCTCTACTAAAAAACAAAAAATTAGCCAGGTGTGGTGGCGGGCACCTGTAGTCCCAGCTACTGGGGAGGTTGAGGCAGGAGAATGGCATGAACCCGGGAGATGGAGCTTGCAGTGAGCACAGATTGCACTCCAGCCTGGACGAGAGAGCCAGACAAAAAAAAAAAAAAAAGAAGAAGAAGAATTCAAATATAAAATTAGAGAAACCATCCCTAGGGTATTCTGGCTTACAAATACAAAAGTTTTCAGAAATTTCAGATCCACCAAATAAGAAATAACGGAATTCCCTCAATAAGCAATTGTAGAGCATAGTAGCTGAGCCAACATTCAAGCATCACAATTCTCCTTTACTCTTTGTATGTATGTGTGTATGTGTGTATGTATGCATGTATTTTAGTTTGGTGGTGGTAATGAAGGTTTAAAATAATTCAAAGCTGATTTAAGCCTTAAAGAAAACACCAATTGCTCAAGTTGTTATCATGAACACTTTAAGTCATACCGGTATTTCAACTATATAACTTTTTAAGTGTATTTTTTATTGGCTTTGTTAGCTAAATCTAAATTTATATTGGCTTTGTTAGCTAAATCTAAAAGCACTGCATTTAAAACCTATTCTTTTGAGATTCTGCTCAATTCAAACAGATGGAATAAAATAGTTTACAAGAACATATTAATTTATTACAATATCCAAATATAGTGCCATTAACCCCTTTTGTCCTAATGTTCCCCATTGGACTTCACAATAATAAAAGAAACATATTTATTACTATTATGTATTCTCATTTTGAAAATGTTAGATGTATCTTAATATCGATTTCTATAATGTATTCAAGCTGCACTCAAGAAGCAGTAGACCCTAACCATTAACAACACAGACTCTGGAACTTGATTGCCTAGACTCAAATCCCAGCTTTGCCATCCACTAGTGTGAGACTTTGAGCAAATTATTTAACTTTTTTTCCATGCCTCCATTTTATTATATGTGAAACAGATTAATAAGGCTAGCTCCAGTGCTACTATAAAAATTAGATGCTTTAGAACAGCGCTATTAATGAGTTAGTTATATTGGTTTTCATTTCTCTTTTCAATGACGATCAATAATTGCCATGCCTTCTACAATCTGTTATTTTATTTGCACAGCATACTCAAATGTTATATACACTCACCTTCATACCAAATACTTTATAGCAAACAAATTAACATTTGCTATGGGAAATCTTCATAGCAAGATTCATCTAGCCAAGGACTAGTTCATCTAGCCAAGGACTTTCATTAACATATAGAGCTAATGTAGTCACCTGTCCCCACAGTGACTTAAACACTTTCATGCAGAAGAGAAAGACAGTCCCCAAGTCTCACTGAGTATTTATTCTTCTATAACCTGATATATCTATGGAACTTGGAGCTCTGTCAGAAGCACATTCCAATAGGAGCAAGAGTTATTTTGTTTTGTTTTTCCCCAAAGCCTCCAAATAACCACTCTGCTGTTCTTGTTGCTGTTGTTTTGGATTGGGGAGGGGGCGGTCAAGTTCCTCTTTTCAGTAGTAAATCTTTTCCATCAAGGTCCTCAATAGCTATCTGACCAAGAATGTGGGTAAATACACAAAAATAAAGAAGTGACCCAACGTAAGGAATAATTCCCAGGGTGAGAAGCACTATAGTCTTACCTCCTCTCCATGCTCCCCATCTTTGTAGACCAGCTCATAGTTGGCAATGGTATCTGAGCGTGGAGGTGTCCAAGAGAGCAAAATACTTGTTTCAGACTCAGGTTCTGCTTTGAAGTTTAGTGGCTGCCCTGGTACTAAAAACAGGGAGGCAAAGGATTGAACTCACAATCACCAGGAGTATTCACAAAGTTCTTTCATAGTGTACCTGTTTAAACCTTTCGAAATCTGTACATATGTACCAGCTTAGTGGAAAACAAGCTCCTTTACATTGTCCAAGTTAACCTCTTTGTACACAGGGCAAGTACAATGTTATAAATCCTGCTCCAGAGTAGTAGAACGTCTACACAAGATACAGTAGAACTAACAAGTATAAAGTCTATTGGCCTCTAAATTTAATTTTAAGGAAAAAATTCTTTACTTCATGATATGGTTGTTAGTAATAAATAATATAATTTAAATAAAACTCTTGCAATATTGCCAAAAGCATAAGTGCTAAATACCTAAAAGTATTGTTACTTACAACTGAGTAGGAACTTACTCTCTAGCACTACATGTAACATTAAAAATTATTTCCAATTAAACTTATAAGATCCTACCTTTACTCCAATAACAAAACCTACAGGCAAACAGAATCACTTAGCATTTTGTCTTACCAGCCCATATTTTGAAAAAGAGGTGTAAAAAAGGAAAAACAAAACAAAACAAAACTCTATCACTTACAAATAATTACTTCCAATCTCTAAACTATGTTAAATTATTTAATGCACTACACCTAATACAAACAAAATATCCCCCCTAGTGCTACGAAGCTGAACTACTACTAAAATTAAGACGTTTATAGAATACTACTTATCAGAAATATGGTAACTTAAAGAGATCATCTATAATTCTGTTAGCCATGTAATCTATTTGATAGACAATCTGGAAGAGCTGTTTATCAGCTGTAATAAACAACAGGAAGTCTATTCGGTTTAAAACATCTTACTCAAATATACTAGAATAATTACTAACCTAAACGTCCTAGTCCACACCTGAGCCTATCAGTTCCCCTCTATCCCTTACACACAAGGCTGAGTCAGGGTGTCACTGGCACATCTAACAGTACATTGTTCTTGGCCACTGTCTGCTCTGATTGGTGAGTGTCCATGCTTTCCCAATTGTAAAATATTTTGATCATTACCCTTGATATTATGGCATGTCTCACTGCTCTGTGGCTGAACATATGTTCACAGTCCCTCAAGTTTAAATGAGAATTCCATTTATATTTAAAGAAAAAAAGAAAACAATAATACTCCACAGCAGAGGAGTTAAAAAAACATCTAAAGTGTACTTTAAAACATCTAAAGTGGCAACTTCAGCAAAAACATTTTAAAACACATACAATACAGTATAATTTGTAGTTGAAAAGAAGCCTTTGGAGAAAATGTATTGCTTTCCTTTTCTGTTATAGTTATGTCTCTGTAGTATAGCTTTTAAAAATGCCCTCTGTTAAAGCAGTCTTCAAGAATGATTTGTAGAATCCCTAATGATAATTTTATTGCTCTGGTAAGTCAGCCTGTGTGAGTGTGTGTGTGTGTGTGTGTGTGTACAGGAATACATGTTTGGACTGATGCTTAAGGTCACAAATAATCAGTGCTTCCTATTTCTAGTTGCCTTCATCATCTTTTCTCTCTCTCTTTTTAAAAATCACAGGCCTTGAAAGTCTCATTGATTTGATGTCTCTGGGAACTTACTTTCTGAACAGAGTATCATATTTTTTTCCCCAGTACCTGCCCAGTGGGTGACCTAACACAATCATTTAGATTGAAAGGCAAAAGAATATAAAACATCGAGAAGCAAGAGGCAGAGGGACAGAGGGGAACAAAACACAAATAGGCAAATTGCAAAGCAAATGGAAAATGCATTATTTCTAAAAGGGAAATACCGAAAGCACTGGCAGGGGCAACAATGGAAACAAGAGTGATCAGATAGATGGGAAAATTATGATAGGATCTAATATTCACATGATGAAAGGGTTTCTCAGGCTAAACATGCACACATATGCCTATGTATGCAGTCACTGATTTTTTTTCCTAGTTGTATCTGCTTCTTTCTTTCTCCCGATTTCCTGGGAAACAAGAAAGTCTGTGTTAGCTCCTGACTCAAACCAAACCGGAGTACAGTATGGTCAAGAATCAGAAACACAGAAAACATTGAAGGGCTGCTCTCAGGATAATAATTGCCTGTTATGCATTTCCTCCCTGCCTAATGCTAATAATAAATTGACATTGATTGAAAACATCTTGGAAACCTAATTAACTTTTTCTTACTTAAACTGTTTACTTTTTGCTTTTAATTTGTCTTGAGGAAATTCCCAATTGGTCTCAATATTTTATTCTTGTTTAGTGACACAAGCTTCATCTGATCATGTAATTCTGTTTGTTTCTATTAAGAGCCCCTTCCCTCTAAATAATGACTTAAGTAGACACATCAGCACCTCAGAGAGTACACTGTCCTTTTTATTCTTGCACAAAGCTAAGAGTTGACTAGACAACTTGATGCAAAGTGTCTTCATCTAATGTACAGGGGGTTCTCTCCTGTTCTTTCCTTATCCTTCTTTTGAAATGGTTCGGAGGGTAACTTCATGTATTAGATTTTAAACTTGTGGTACAGGCTTAGGCATGGTAACTCACATCTGTAATCCTAGCACTTTGGGAGGCCAAGTTGGGAGGATGGCTTGAAGGCAGGGGTTCAAGACCAGTCTAGGCAACACAGCAAAACCCTGTCTCTACAAAATAGTAAAACTTAAAAAAATTAGTTGGGCATAGTGGAGCATGCCTGTAGTCCCAGCTGCTTGGGAGGCTGAGGTTAGAGGATCACTTGAGGCCAGGAGGGTGAGGCTACAGTGAGCAATGACTGAGCCACTGCAAACAACCCTGGATGACAGAGTGAGAACCTGTCTCTAAAATAAATAAATAAATAAATAATGTATAAAATAAACATGTGATGCGAACACAAATGCTTGGAGGTGTCAGGTAATTTAGAAGAGTGAGAAGGCCATACGGGGTCCGGGGCCCAGTGGCGCATGCCCCCCACCTGAAGAGGAAGCGCAGGCCATGCTCAGTGACAGCAGGCTGCTGCCTTGTGAAATGTGGGCCCACTCTTGTCCCAGCCTCAGATTTTCTTCACAGAAGTTGATCGTGAAACTTCCAGGTAAAACCTTTCCATTCTTAATTACTGAAAATTAATTGAATTTTAAAAGCACTGTATGGGGCAAAAATGTGTCTACAGGCTAGATTCAGCATATGGGCCAGGGTTCTAAACTAACCTTTCATGATCTCAGGCTCCAGACTTATCAATGGCTTAAGGGTTTACTACCCACACTTCCTCGGGAATTGAGGGTGTACCTGATGATATCACTTCCTCAGGGCATTTCGTCATATTTGAACCCACCACCATGAAGCGGAGGACGCAAAGGAATTTTTAAAAAAGGTATAAAATGAATGTATTTTTAAATTCCCAACATATTGGTCCTAATAAGCATAATATATGTATATAAGAAAACACTTTAGGGGCTACAGACTGTCATATTTGTTTTCTCTGTAACACTTGAGACACGGGAGTACTTTCATTATCTGTCAATTGAATTTTTATACGAAATATTGTGTCTACAGAGGTCCCATTTCACATTACTATTAATGTTTTCTCTCTATATATGTTTATATGTATTTATATATACAAATGTATAAATGTAAATATTTACGTACATTTTATTGATTTATTTAGTTAGTTCTGAGACAAGGTCTTACTGTATCACCCAGGCTGGAGTGCAATGGTACAATCATGGTTCACTACAGCTTTGACCTCCAAGTCTCATGTGCTCTTTCTGCCTCAGCCCCCTGAGTAGCTGAGACTACAGGCATGTGCCATAATACCCGGCTAATTTTTTAATTTTTTTGTACAGACAAGGTCTCAATATGCTGCCCCAGGTTGTCTGAAGTCCCCGGGCTCAAGAAATCCTTACACCTCGGCCACCCAAAGCACTGAGAGTACGGGTGTGAGCCACTGTGCCTCGCCTTCTTACACATAGATATTTTACGCTCTTGTAATCATTACACACCACACTTTCTCACTGGTATCTTTTTTTCACCTTCACTTACCAATCCTTTGTCTATGTATATCTTATTTTATTTTTATTTTATTCAAGAGCTTTTCTGTGTTGTAACATTTCCTTCGCTGATTAACTGAACATAAATTTTATAAGAAAATGTGAGATTCTGGGAAAATGATGGGCAAATAAAAACAACATATCCAGACCTTCAAGCAGTTACTTCATATTCAAAGGAGAGAGATGATATTGACCATAAACCAAATTTATAATAGGACATGGAAAGAAGAAATAAACTAAGCAAAAGTTTTTCTTTAATATTATATTTAAGAAGTCATTATATAGTGTAAAGGTATGTCCTTCCTCTTGATTACTTATTTAATGTTCACAAGGAAATAGATATGTGAGCTATCAAGTCCCTAAAATAAGATTATAATCCCACTGATACATATTAAGTACTTGAGCATTATTATAATTATACTCTATATAAATATGTGAAAGTAACACAAAGAAAAGGGATAAAAAAAGAGACTAACAAAGGAGAAACCTTCACATTATCTGAAATGCTGATATCTTAGAAGAGATTAATATTTGAATAAAATTTAGAGACTATCTCTAAAGAAAGGTTGACACATATTACACTGCTAAACAACAGTTTCATCTTGCTATAGTATAAATATGAAATATGACCAAAGATACTAGAAAACCCATGATTGCTAAAATATCTAGTATTTTAATAAGGTAACTGTTTTAAAATGTGTGTATCTAGCATGTTGATAAATGATAACAACAATAAAACTGACAGCCAGAATTATAATGGTAGTAAAACAAAACAAAATTCAAAACAGAGAGTCTGATGTGTAAATGCCACAAATATATCATTGACAAAATAAGTACTTAATACACAAGCATCAGCACAAATCTTACTCTCAACAGTCATTAAATATAAATGAGAAAAAGTTAAATTTCATTATAGTTGTATTTATATCCAGTGCTCCTTTAATCACTGCTAAAACTATTCAGAAAAAGGATTTAAATCGGACTCAT